GAAAAAAGTTTTAGTGCTGCGTAGGCTGTAAAAATAGCAAATAACTCATTATAGTCCTTTTTTAGTTTGTTTACTCCGCTAGTAGATAGTGATTTAGGATACGATTAACTATTGCTCTAAAGTCACTTAAGCTTACGGTTCGTTGTATTTTGATGAGATGTGCAATAATCAATAAGTAAAAATTAATGTTTGAGGGAAATAAGAACGAGTTTAGTAGAAACATCTGATCACGTCTCAGCATGCCGTCGGTGACTTTTATCCACCAATTATTATCATAACTCATCGGCCATGACGTTTCGCCAATGTACACGTTGTACCCGATTGGTTCTTTGACGTTCACATGGAACACTTTACCCTTCCTACCAAATTATATTCACGTTTTGTACAGAATCCAACTTTGAGATGGGAAACATTTTGTCAACAGTATCTTTAGATCCATTTCAAAGTTATTCTGAGTCTTCGATAACGTTAGGAGTACAGTTTTAACGACGAGATCCATCGCCAAGGGTTATGTACAACTGAACATTTTATTAGTGGCTGTTGATATTGTACAACATCACATGCATAAGGAATACATTAACATATCATGTGAGCATTATATACAGGATTTGAATAATTAAACAATGTATGCGTTAACATTTCACGTGAACATTGTATACGGTATGCGTTGTATGCGTATACAGATAAATAGACAATGTATATGTATACGACGCTGATCTGATGTACGCGTTAACATTTCACGTGAACATTGTGTGCAGAATATGGAGAATTACCATACCAGTGATGATAGACTATAAATTAAACAGTTTAACCTATTGTTTGATTACGAAAAAAATGAGTTTTGCTAACAAATCCACGTCTGTAGGTAATGTGTTAGTCGTAGCATGGGGAGTAAGGAAATTTCAGACATGCAAGATGATTTTAACATTTATTTGTCTTGCAATTGTCTGGCAATTAGTTACATGCAGCAATAAAAAATAATTGCTTCTAAATCGTTATCGCTTTTTGCTCGTTTGCCATGGTTTCCTTAAGGAAGGTTTAGTAAACAATTTGGCTAAGTTTAAATTCTAATCTTCATCATCATCATCGTCATCATCATCACTGCCCTTATTTTCTTTCACATCTTCACTCGTGGTCGTTTAAAAGCCTTTTAATGAGGAACTTTCTCTTATCAACTGCAGCTTCTATTGCTTCTTCTGGGTCAAAATCATCATTTTGAATAAACGCATCTTTTGTGTGCATTATTTTCTTATGTACGGGATCTTTCTTTATTTGTCTCATCCACAAAAGGCGCTCTATGTAGATATTTTCTAATTCTTTCTGGAGTTTACGCATAGCATTCAAGTAAGCTTTCTCTTTAGCGGTATGCTCATCGAAACCACTGCTTATAAAACTTTCTTCCATTTCCTCAAAAGCTGTGTTGCTTCTTTGTTTTGCTTCTTCTATTAACGGTATCCAGGGATCCATTTCTTCTTCGGATTCTGAGTCAGACACCGTCGAACTTCCAGACTGCTGAGTGGAAGTGGTCGAGACTCATCTTGGAAATCTCTTTCTTGACTGTCCGAGTCTGTTTCAGACATGTTTCTTTCTTGTTCTCGTAGTGGACAGTGTTCCTGTTCGTGTCTGCGCTGATTGTAACCGCGGCTAAAGTATCTTCCGCAAAATTGACAGCTCATTCCCTTACCACTGGAGGTGTGGGAATGGCTTGTTATCGAACAGTGATGCAGTTTTATGAGCAAATGAGCATGTGCTCATGAGCAGTTATGAGCATGTGCTCATCTGCTCATCGCAGTTATGCACATGTGCTCATCTGCTCATCGCATAAAATTTACCCGATTCATTGAGATTTTTTGGACGTCGGGTAAAAGTTTGCGCTAGAAGTTTGCGCGTTTTGGCTAGGGAACCGCCGGTCGCCGGCCGTTATTTCAGATGTGATCGACAAATTAAAATATGCTGGCTCCGTTGGCTACTGATCACAGACGGCAAGCAGATTAATGGCTGCATTTTATCTTTTTCAGTTTATAAACACTCCCGTATATGAAGCAATAGCTTCCTGGATAGAAACGGCCTCTCTACCGATTGTTTTGTTGGGTAAGTGGCAATTTTGCAATCCTATCCGACTGCAGACTCTCTAGTGGATTGCACGCTCATTAGTGACTGAGTGATCTAATGTGTTTGTAACTTTTTTGAAGGAGCCAAAGGAGTGGGAAAGACAACCACGCTAATCATGTTACATGAATCATGCAAAAGACCGAAACATTATTTTGTAAGTAATATTCAGAATCAGAGGATTGACCATCTGTGTTGTCTTCACGTTATCCCGACAAAAATCTTTTCCCGTGCTTTTTCGAACAAGCTCTTGTTGATTCCCCGCCAGACTCTTTTGTTTTGTTCAAGAAAAGCAGCAGAAGCAACATTTTTAAAGGGTACAAGCGACCTAAACCTAAATTTTATCAATTGGATAGCGACCAACGTATTAATTTATCCAATGGATAGTGCTTTTTTATCCGTTGGATAGAGCTATTCATGCTTCGTACAACGCAATTTATCCAGCGAATAAAATTTATGCGTAAACCGTTTCCTTTCTGTTTAGGACCTTTCAAGTGATCACGACGTGGTGCGCTTGTCTGAAAAATTGAAGGTTCGTCCTGAAACTGATAGAAAATTGTTATTTGTTGATTACCCAATGATATGGAAATTCTACCATCTACCCATTAACGTTTGTTTTCTTTCTGTTAATATAAGACTATATCGCCATTATCGGGTAATGAAGAGAAAGAATATCCAGTTTGGTTGTTTGTTGACAACATACACGAAATGGTGAACTACACATGCTTAAACGACCTGATCCGTATGTACGTCAAGGGCTGGACACAGGTAATTCTGGAGAATTTTAAACATTTGTTTGCTGCTTTTCAAGAATTTCCTGTATGTCCATGCATATAAAATTCCCAAATAAATTCGGCTTAATATGGTAATAAATTTGGACCATTACTGGCAACTTGAAAAATTATTAGAAATGAATTATTTTCATTTATAAAGTCTTGCAATTTGTTTCTAAACTCTTTATCAGTGAACGCGAGATCTTTTAGCTCATTTGGCAGATTATTCCAAGTTTTAGCCGTAACATTCATGCCGCTAAACGTCGCCCCAGTCTCCAAAAGGGGCCGCGCGGCCGGAAATATTTTGTGTATTCTGATTGGCTAAAATTCGTATTTACGACCCGAACTTAGACACACATGACATAAAACGTCTCGTGTTGTCTAACACTGTTCCTATCCTTGCGGTCACCGTTCCTATGCTGTCTGGCTACCAATTTGATAAGCGAGTATAGTGCTATGGCGTGTAGTGCCCGTTCAGCGCAACATCTATAGTCAAAATTCGCTGTTTCTTGCCCATTTTTGCGCTCTTTCTTGAACTGTTTGAAAAAAGCCAAAAATTAAGCAAAAATTAGTTTCAAGCTCTCCTCCTTTGACTTGCAGAAATGTAAGCCTATCCAACATCAACAGCAACTTGAGTCCGGAAATGCCGTCAGCTCATTGCAACCTTATAATCGCTCCCCATAAGTAAGATCAGTGAATGTTGATAATTGTAACATCAATCCAGCTCAGGCATCATCGTTTCTTAAATACTTGTAAATCATTGAGTTTAACGATACATATTTTATACATGCAGCTGCTAAATGTTGTTCCCTTTAAGAATCAGTTGTATGTTCGTTTCCTAAATATATTTGAGTAACACGCTATACCAAGATTGTACTGTTCACATAATTCCGGACCTATATGAGCAACCCTAACAATTAACCAAATCATGTTTCGGTGATGAAAACGTGAAAACCTTTTGTGTTAGAAAATTTTTTGTGTATTTTTAATTTTTTTCTCAACAGTACCGTAATCGGGGGCGTCTTGTCTGTGCAGTGTCCAGATATGGACTTGTGGGTTTGCTGAAAAAGTTCCGTATAAACTACTCCGACCTCAATACACAAGTGGTGAATCCGACTGAGGAGGTTGCATGGTCGTTACTGAGACGGGTATGTTGTGGAACAAATGTCTAGTGATGCTTGATTGCTGATGCAGTTGATTCTAGGTGTATCAGCAATGCTGCTTTTAACTAATATTCCGTTTGAACTCTTTTAGTCCTACAACGAAATGATCTCCGACCCCGCAAACGAGGTACGTCCAATAATTCCGTCTCGAGATCTGTTTATTACTCGTGCCAGGCCTTTTGTCTTTGCCCTGGTTCAATTTCAAAGGGTTTGAGCTGTACATAATTAACTGGAGAGCAGTCTTAGGCACTGTGTAGTCAAAAAGATGGCGTCTTTTGCGTCATTTTGACGTCATTTGGTCCCCAACTCTCATGTCGCTACCGCTGTACAACCGCGATCAGGCCGAAGTTACGGAACTGTTTCCCCTCTGGTTTTGTTTTCTTCAAGCGGTTCGCTATGATGAGATTACTTACACATTGAAGCTCTACCCAATTCCCTGGGGGATAAAAAAGTTTAAACTGTCGTGCGAGAATTAATAAAACTGCTGAAATTTGCATACGTTCGCATGAATTAACTCATTGCTATAGCTTAATTCGGGCCAATAAAAACTTCACCAAGTTTCCGGATACGGCACAAAACCGAGATGATTTTTTCGGATTCATCGCTGTGTGTGTGAACGGCAACATGAATCCGGTACTAAAACGTTTCGGTTTCGTGACGAATCCGGAATCTTTCGCCTCATCTGTTGTATTTATCTTTTACAGCCTAAGATAAGAGAGTTTTTGGAGTACGTTGGGTTTGTTCCCCGTTTGGTTGAGTCATTAATACAAGAATGTAGAGTACAAAAAAGAAAAGGAGAAGATATAGAAGCTATTATTGCAAGAGTCACACGCAGCACAATCAAAAATTTACATTATGTTCTTAACGAAGATGTTCAATCTCTTAGTCCCGGATCACGATATGCTCATATCTGTGCACTAGCGTTATGTGTTTCGAGAGGGCTTCCCCACAGAATTGCCCACCCTCGTGGACAAAATGAATGTGTCTTGGACCTGTCTGAAGGAAACTTCGGATGAAGTGTTAACATCAGTGTCTCCTCTTGCAACGCATGTTGTCAACCAGCATCTTTCCACTGATGTTTCCCTTCGGGACGAAACGGTAAGTGCCGTGAATATAGTAATGGCGTGTATCTATTGCAATGAAAAAAGCGTCTAGCTATTGAAGCCACCAAGTAAATTGTTGGGAAAAGAACCCAGCTGGCGGTTTTCCGAGAGTGGAGGCACTCTTCGTTCACCGGTCAAAATGTTTTTGTTTTTAGGTTGAACTACTCAAGCAAGTCAACCTCAAAGGTGAAAGCAATGTTCGCGGATACATTTTTGAAACACTCATATTTTCGAACTTTACTAGTGGTAGGTAAACTTTATTTGACGACAGTAGTTTCAGCCCTTAAATACTAGCAGATACCTCGCACTACTTTTCTCAATGAAAATAATTGTCCATTAATGGAGCACACTTGTCCTCTATTTGTCAAAATATAGCATCGGCGCGTTTGACGTTATTGGGCATGACGAAGGACAGGAAAGAAGTAAACTTAACCACGTTATCCCAAGCAGGAGTGGTTCTCAATCAAAAACAGTTTACGTCTACGTTTGAACCAGAAAAGAATATATGTTATGCCACTCCAAATATGAAGGGTGTTGACTTTATTTGTCGCTTGAAAGGGAGGTTTATTTATCCAATGTACAGTCAATAAAGCCTTCATGACTGCAAAAGCGTCGTTTTGGCAAACTTGTCCGAGCGAGTGGACACCTGTACTCATTACGGTGTTTGATGTAGAAGATACTATGCGAAGCCTACTCACCTCGAATGGAACTCTATCAAATGAATTTAAGAATGGGAAATTCTACATTGGGGATGCTAAAACATTGTTAACAGAACATGAAATTAAATTATGTTCTCCAGCATAATTTAATTAAATCTTCTGGCGTTGCTGAATTGATTGTGAAATGATTGGGTCATTATGAAATAATTTGATGGGTGAATTGGTGATAATTGTAAAAACGTATTTAGATAATCAATATTAACATATTTAGATTTATTCAATGGTTCATATTTTAATGGGATTTATGCAATAAATGATCTATTTTAACCTGTAGAGACACAGATGATTTACATATAGATCTCATCTTTTAAAGTGCCTATGCAGGCGACATAATTTTTGTTAAAAAATATATCTCAAAGACTCAAACCAAAATCCGAGGGGCAAATCACTCCAAAAAAAGTGTACGGAATTTTTGGACTTTCAAAATTCCGACGAGTTTTTGGTCGGACTTTCGTACTTTTTGGAATTTTTCCGGACTCTTTGAAAATCTCGATAAAACGAGATTTTTAAAATATTTTCAATTGTGTTGTTGAGGCTTGATTTGAGACTCAAGTTAATTTAATTAAGGTATATAAACTCGGGTATAACAAACTCAAGAACTTTTATAATAAGCCATTCAAATGTCCTGTCCCTAACCCTAGCCCTAAAGAAAAGAAACAAACTAAAAATCGGAATAGAAAAAAATAGCAAACGTTGTTGTAGCGGTGGGGCCCGCATAACGTTATATGGTTAAGCATACTTCGTGACCACTAGACTACCGCTGCAATACTATCCTTGCGGTCACCGTTCCTATGCTGTCTGGCTACCAATTTGATAAGCGAGTATAGTGCTATGGCGCGTAGTGCCCGTTCAGCGCCACATCTATAGTCAAAATTCGCCGTTTCTTGCCCATTTTTGCGCTCTTTCTTGAACTGTTTGAAAAAAAGCCAAAAATTAAGCAAAAATTAGTTTCAAGCTCTCCTCCTTTGACTTGCAGAAATGTAAGCCTATCCAACATCAACAGCAACTTGAGTCCGGAAATGCCGTCAGCTCATCGCAACCTTATAATCGCTCCCCCATAAGTAAGATCAGTGAAATGTTCATCCAGCTCAGGCATCATCGTTTCTTAAATACTTGTAAATCATTGATTTTAACGATACATATTTTATACATGCAGCTGCTAAATGTTGTTCCCTTTAAGAATCAGTTGTATGTTCGTTTCCTAAATATATTTGAGTAACACGCTATACCAAGATTGTACTGTTCACATAATTCCGGACCTATATGAGCAACCCTAACAATTAACCAAATCATGTTTCGGTGATGAAAACGTGAAAACCTTTTGTGTTAGAAAATTTTTTGTGTATTTTTAATTTTTTTCTCAACAGTACCGTAATCGGGGGCGTCTTGTCTGTGCAGTGTCCAGATATGGACTTGTGGGTTTGGTGAAAAAGTTCCGTATAAACTACCCCGACCTCAATACACAAGTGGTGAATCCGACTGAGGAGGTTGCATGGTCGTTACTGAGACGGGTATGTTGTGGAACAAATGTCTAGTGATGCTGATTGCTGATGCAGTTGATTCTAGGTGTATCAACAATGCTGCTTTTAACTAATATTCCGTTTGAACTCTTTTAGTCCAACAACGAAATGATCTCCGACACCGCAAACCGGCCAGGTACGTCCAATAATTCCGTCTCGAGATCTGTTTATTACTCGTGCCAGGCCTTTTGTCTTTGCCCTGGTTCAATTTCAAAGGGTTTGAGCTGTACATAATTAACTGGAGAGCAGTCTTAGGCACTGTGCAGTCAAAAAGATGGCGTCTTTGGCGTCTTTTGCGAGCATTGTTCTGATAACAGTAATTATTAATCTTTTTCAGTTTGTTTCTACTGAACTTATGCAGATGGAAACCTCGAGCCCAGAAAAAGAAGATAAGGTTTGCTACCCCTAATCTAAACTTTATGCCAGATACCGTATTTACTCGTTTAATTGCGATCAATTCTACGCACCGTTGTTAAATCGGTCTTTGGAATTTTCGTAATGTGCAGGTCAGTCGTGAAGGCAGAGATTCCAGTGATTTGTGTGAGGAGGTTGTCAAAATGGTAACATTTGGCTACATCTAACTTTCAATTATTTTTGTTTAAAGTTCTTGTTACAATTGACAAATAAGAATTTTTAAACAGCGCCGCCCCCGATTACACCCGGGGCCGTAACTTAGAACGATAGTTGTGGGGGGGGGGTTTATTCATATATTCAGTTCTGCCCGACGGATTTCATTGTGAGCTATTGCACTTACAAAAGAGCATCCGTCGGGCAGAACTGAATATATGAATAAACACCCCCCAATTATCGTTCTAGTTGCGGCCCTGATTACACCGCTCTATAAGGAAACGCACACTGTACCGGTTACTGGAACCTGAACGGGTCTCACCGGTTACTGGAACTCAACGCATGGGGAGTTAGACTAATCCTATCAAAAGATTGTCCCACCGGTGAGGAGAGATCACGCAGATCTATGTGACAAGTTTGGGACATTCCCGCGTGTTTGGATCAGGCCATCCAAACACGGAAACCATTAAAGTAATTGTTAATTAATTAACACCATGAACTAACAAGCACTCGTCGTGATTTTTCAAAATAAAATTGAAATCAAGAGAAATCTGTGTTTTAATACCTATGGAAATATCAAATACCCCCATTCTCTTGAAATTTTGACGCAATGAATCCTCTGATTCAGAACTTCCGGCGCCGGGTCGCTGCGCATTTCTCAGAAGCAGAGAAAGCATAAGGTAATCCCTGAATTCGTTGAAGATCTCTTCCGTGATTATCGACTGCGACAGAAACTCTGGAAGCCAAGCCTATCTTCAGCCGTTGAAGACTTGAAGTGAAGCATGATGCGGCCGCGATCATGATGTACGTAATTCCCAGTCTTATTGCTCGGTCAGTTTGTGCCCGTGCTCGATATAGGCCACAGAATAAGGTTATTCTGTGATATAGGCATAAGAAAAATATTTTTTTCTGTTTGGTTTCATTGGCAGTAGATCAAGAAAAGATATAACGGTACGTGAATGCTCTATATGTAACTTATTTTGAATTGCCTTTGAAGTGAGGTTTTGCGTGTGGGCATTTAAACTGCCAGAACTCAAATTATATATATAAACTATATAAGAGAAATTTGTAAATACCGTTGCCGTTGGCAGAGTTGACTGCTCAATTGGATATCCAGAGCATATTATTGAAAATTAAGCAATAAGCCAGTATTAGTTTTCACAAGAAAACTTATACTGGCTTATTGCTTAATTTTCTTAGCTTTTCTCCCTTAAATTATAAAGCTGGTTTGGTTCGAACGCTTATAGATAGAGCACGAAAAATTAACAGCTCAATTAGCGAAAAGAAACTCTTTTCCTTCTCACTTCATTGATAATATTATCAAAATTGCTGAAGAAAACATCCTTCCACTGCCCCGAATGTTTCTGGCCGAGAACCAAAAGAGACACTGAAAATGTCCGATATTTTCAACTGCCATATATAGGCCACTACTCCAAGATCACACAAAAACGGTTAACAACTATTATCAATCATTATTGCTTGCCTTTCGAAATAAAATTGGTTTCTCACTATATAAAATTAAAAATCTTTTTAGCTTTATAAATTTACTTGTGCGGTTTGTAGTAGCCGTTTGTTACATTGGCGAAACAATGCGCCATTTATCTACCACAGAGAACACACTTCCACTGACAAAAACTCCCACATCTACAAACACTTCCTTTCATCACCTAACTGCAAATCACACTATACAGACTCTCGTTTTACTATTCTTGACACTGCCAACTTTTCCTCTACACTTAAAATAAAAGAAGCCCTACATATAAATCAACTCAAACCTGAACTCAATAAGCAAGTTCAACACTTTAACACTATCTTTAGCTTGTAAATATATTGTCGTGTAGTTTCGTGACCTCACTTAGTCTGTTGTCCATGTCTAGTTTACAACAGAAGATGCTGATTCAATTTTTTCCACAGATTCAGAACTTCAGACTTTTGAAAACGAATTTTGAAAACGTTCCTAATCTGTGCCTGGTATGACTTCGAAAGGTCGAGAGCCAGTATTTTTCTTCTTCGACATCGAAGCCGCGAACAGTTCAGTTGGTGCTGACATAATTCAATTTGGGTTACGTGCGATCCAAGTGTCCATTTGATGGCAGAGTTTAGTGCATTTGTGAAAACAAAGCAGAAATTATCATCATTCAGTAATTTAATCTTTTTTAATGTTGAAAAAATTATCTTTATGTGAAATCTTTGCACAATTCTTTGCATACGCTTCATCTTTCTTTGCCCTTTCCAGCCATCAAACACCAGATCCTTTTCCTCTTGTTTTCAAGAGGATGATGAAATGGGTGACCAATAGGACTTTGGCAGCAAGCAGGAAAAGTAGAAAAAAGGGAAAACAACAGAAAATGTTTTACCCAGGTAAGTTTGAAGCGTTTTCGCCATGTAAAGGCTTGTTTGCACTGCAATTTTTTCTTAGAAAATGTGCATCATTAGGATTTAAATGAAAATTGCACAATCGGTGACATTGAAACATAGATCGCTCACAGAAAAACTGTTGTTGCAATTACTCTGAGCTACGGCCAAGTTGGGAAGTTCTGGCTGTGTAGGTCGATGACTACTTCCCCATGCATCAGATCTTTTCCTGCTAATCCCTGCTTCTCCCCTCTTATATTGAACCTGCATGTGGAAAAAATTGAATCAGCATAGATCTTCTGTTGTTTTTTAAAAGTTCAAACATTGTATTCGTTTGTGTCGGGCTCAGCTCTTTGTAAGAATCTGCGTTCGGGTGGCATACCCGCAAATTAAAGCTCAGACAGTATATTTAATAATGTTCTAGTCGACTTGCACTTTTAAACATATTTAAAAATACCACGTAACTGGAGGGTATTCATCATGCAGTAAGTGACCATATTTGAAAGTGTCTTAGTCAAAGGCCATATAATTAGTTTATTAAATATGTTTAAAAGTGCAAGTCGACTAGAACATTATTAATATATACTGTCTGAGCTTTAATTTGCAGGTAAATTCTTTGCACAAATCAATCCACTGATGTAAAGTAACAAGCGATTCTTGCAGGTACTTCGATGTGGCACTCCGATACACCATTCGGTGTACCATTCGGTGTAGATATCTAACTAGAGTTGTCATGATGTATAAAAATAAATTTGTTTAAAAAATAATACCTAAATAACAGTTTATTTCGTTCCTCAGTTTTGCTTGCTCATGGTGGCAATCGGTCGGACTTTCCGATGTTGGTGGACAACATCTCTCGCCACAAAGCCTCATCCGGCTATTTGTACCCGAGACTTCGTGTGGGGGACACATACCAACTTTGTGTAAAGGTGAGTTCTGCATCTGATTCCGAAATTTGTGTTCTCGAATATTGGACAATGCTTTTTTATACATTTCAGCTTCAAGAAAACGGTTTGCCAATATTTGACAAACAAACGAAATTAGGAATGGAAGGTTTGCACAAATTATTCTTCCCTGGTGAAGACTTTAAAGGTACGTGTTTTCTTATAGGATCGCGATCTTTTGTTTTGTGCCGACGTAAACAAATTTATGTTTTGTGCCAACATAACCAGGAAATTTATGTGGCTTGTACGAACCAGTGAATGCTTCATTCATTTTTATCACAGATCGTCACAGTGCTTTGGGAGATGCCAGGTTGATGAGGCAAATTTTCGGGGGGCCGCTTCGCAACCACCTGGAAGAAATCGAAACAAAGACGTTGTCTTCCTTGTAAGTATTTTTGGACTTCATCCAGACTCTTTAGTAATGCACATTTAATACTGCATCGTGGTTTCCTCTTGCGCACGCTACTATCTTCTCATCGTCCAATAATTTGCCCTTTAGACATTTGTGTGAACCAGACTTTTCAGACAGTTATCTGAGTTACTATTAGAATATCCTCGATGATATTTTTTACCCCAGTATGGCCTTGACTAAGCATAACAATCGTTGACTAAGCGATTATTTTGTCTTTTTTAGTGTGGGTTTGCAAAAAAAGAAAAAGAAAAAAAAAGAAAGAAACCAAACCATTGGCGAAGGTTGGCATTGAATTCGAGCATTAACTCAGTATTCGCTAGTGAAGTGTGAAGTTCCTCTCTTTATATTTTTACATGATCTGACCCGTTTAATAGTTTCTTTGGTTATTCTTCTTTTGTAGTGCAATTTGACGTAACCGCCTATTTGGAAAGTTGATTGATGAAAGTAAGTTGTTTAATTTTCTGCTTCGTGCTCCGTACTCCGTGCTCGTGTTTTACCAATAGCCTAGGTATATTGTTTATCCGAGTTTATGGGTCTAAGTAAGCAATAACCTATCATCCCTTGCACGCTCAGAGTTTACGGTTTACGCTTTTGGAAAGACAACCTTTCAGTGGATGGGTGAATATCACTATTGATTTGGGCACAGAGATTTAAAAAATTACAACCGATTCTTCCATGCACCGAAAGCTACTGTCTGAGCTTTAATCTGCACTTAAAGCAACAGTTTGGACCTATCACAAAGTTTGGACCTATTAGAAAATCAAAGCGGAGAAGTATGTTTAAGAAAACAATGAAAGCGTGGTTAGATTTTAAACATTTCAACTGATTCTTCATCAGAAAGACACTGTCCGAGCTTTAATCTGTGCAAACAAGTACATTCTGTGCACAAAATCAATAGTCATAATCAAGGCAGAAATTTGGACCAATTACGAATCATTTGATATTTTTAAATATGTTTAAAGAATCGACTCCATGTGGTACACCGAATGGTGTATCGGAGTGCCACATCGAAGTACCTGCAAGAATCGCTTGTTACTTTACATCAGTGGATTGATTTGTGCAAAGAATTTACCTGCAAATTAAAGCTCAGACAGTATATATTAATAATGTTCTAGTCGACTTGCACTTTTAAACATATTTAATAAACTTTATATGGCCTTTGACTAAGACACTTTCAATATGGTCACTTACTGCATGATGAATACCCTCCAGTTACGTGGTATTTTTAAATATGTTTAAAAGTGCAAGTCGACTAGAACATTATTTATATACTGTCTGAGCTTTAATTTGCGGGTATGCCACCCGAACGCAGATTCTTACAAAGAGCTGAGCCCGACACAAACGAATACAATGTTTGAACTTTTAAAAACAACAGAAGATCTATGCTGATTCAATTTTTTCCACATGCAGGTTCAATATAAGGGGGAGAAGCAGGGATTAGCAGGAAAGATCTGATGCATGGGGAAGTAGTCATCAAGACTGACCCCATTCTAACGAAGAAACAATTGAAAGAAGGAAAAAACAAAACAAGCAGGCAAGTCTTCAGGACAGCATGCCGGCCAGCAAGCCTTAGCTGGGTAGCCCAAGCAATAAAAACGCATCAATTACTGCATCATGGCAGAGTCGGTCGCATGCAACGTAAGTTTTCAAAATTTTTGCTTTCCCATCACTGTATCCCGCCGCTCTCTTTGAGCGCGGTCAAGGGTAAAACTGAGATATGTCGAAGTATTACCTCATGCCGTTATCATGATAAAATCTAGGTTTTTGCGAGGCCGGATGCACTAATGATTCCAGGCGGTACTGTAACATATCTCTTGCCTCTATCAATATACGGCAAGAAAAAATATGTTGCCAATACCCTTTAATTAGTGTGTGACTTGTATGTTATAATCCGACTAAGAAAAACGGTAGACAAAATTTGTAGTAGGAAAATTCGGAAAAAAGACTACAATCATGGACAAAAAGTAGGTTCACGTGATGTTCCTGTAGATTTGACTCCATGTATACACGACATACTATATTTGAAAAAGTTTTAGTGCTGCGTAGGCTGTAAAAATAGCAAATAACTCATTATAGTCCTTTTTTAGTTTGTTTACTCCGCTAGTAGATAGTGATTTAGGATACGATTAACTATTGCTCTAAAGTCACTTAAGCTTACGGTTCGTTGTATTTTGATGAGATGTGCAATAATCAATAAGTAAAAATTAATGTTTGAGGGAAATAAGAACGAGTTTAGTAGAAACATCTGATCACGTCTCAGCATGCCGTCGGTGACTTTTATCCACCAATTATTATCATAACTCATCGGCCATGACGTTTCGCCAATGTACACGTTGTACCCGATTGGTTCTTTGACGTTCACATGGAACACTTTACCCTTCCTACCGAAATTATATTCACGTTTTGTACAGAATCCAACTTTGAGATGGGAAACATTTTGTCAACAGTATCTTTAGATCCATTTCAAAGTTATTCTGAGTCTTCGATAACGTTAGGAGTACAGTTTTAACGACGAGATCTTTTAGAGTCTGCACACGCTCCATCGAGTGGCTGTTGATATTGTACAACATCACATGCATAAGGTACAAACATATCATGTGAGCATTATATACAGGATTTGAATAATTAAACAATGTATGCGTTAACATTTCACGTGAACATTGTATACGGTATGCGCGTTGTATGCGTATACAGATAAATAGACAATGTATATGTATACGACGCTGATCTGATGTACGCGTTAACATTTCACGTGAACATTGTGTGCAGAATATGGAGAATTACCATACCACGTGATGGATAGACTATAAATTAAACAGTTTAACCTATTGTTTGATTACGAAAAAAATGAGTTTTGCTAACAAATCCACGTCTGTAGGTAATGTGTTAGTCGTAGCATGGGGAGTAAGGAAATTTCAGACATGCAAGATGATTTTAACATTTATTTGTCTTGCAATTGTCTGGCAATTAGTTACATGCAGCAATAAAAAATAATTGCTTCTAAATCGTTATCGCTTTTTGCTCGTTTGCCATGGTTTCCTTAAGGAAGGTTTAGTAAACAATTTGGCTAAGTTTAAATTCTAATCTTCATCATCATCATCGTCATCATCATCACTGCCCTTATTTTCTTTCACATCTTCACTCGTGGTCGTTTAAAAGCCTTTTATGAGGAACTTTCTCTTATCAACTGCAGCTTCTATTGCTTCTTCTGGGTCAAAATCATCATTTTGAAAAACGCATCTTTTGTGTGCATTATTTTCTTATGTACGGGATCTTTCTTTATTTGTCTCATCCACAAAAGGCGCTCTATGTAGATATTTTCTAATTCTTTCTGGAGTTTCGCATAGCATTCAAGTAAGCTTTCCCTTTAGCGGTATGCTCATCGAAACCACTGCTTATAAAACTTTCTTCCATTTCCTCAAAAGCTGTGTTGCTTCTTTGTTTTGCTTCTTCTATTAACGGTATCCAGGGATCCATTTCTTCTTCGGATTCTGAGTCAGACACCGTCGAACTTCCAGACTGCTGAGTGGAAGTGGTCGAGACTTGATCTTGGAAATCTCTTTCTTGACTGTCCGAGTCTGTTTCAGACATGTTTCTTTCTTGTTCTCGTAGTGGACAGTGTTCCTGTTCGTGTCTGCGCTGATTGTAACCGCGGCTAAAGTATCTTCCGCAAAATTGACAGCTCATTCCCTTACCACTGGAGGTGTGGGAATGGCTTGTTATCGAACAGTGATGCAGTTTTATGAGCAAATGAGCATGTGCTCATGAGCAGTTATGAGCATGTGCTCATCTGCTCATCGCAGTTATGCACATGTGCTCATCTGCTCATCGCATAAAACTTTACCCGATTCATTGAGATTTTTTAGGACGTCGGGTAAAAGTTTGCGCTAGAAGTTTGCGCGTTTTGGCTAGGGAACCGCCGGTCGCCGGCCGTTATTTCACGATGTGATCGACAAATTAAAATATGCTGGCTCCGTTGGCTACTGATCACAGACGGCAAGCAGATTAATGGCTGCATTTTATCTTTTTCAGTTTTAAACACTCCGTATATGAAGCAATAGCTTCCTGGATAGAAACGGCCTCTCTACCGATTGTTTTGTTGGGTAAGTGGCAATTTTGCAATCCTATCCGACTGCAGACTCTCTAGTGGATTGCACGCTCATTAGTGACTGAGTGATCTAATGTGTTTGTAACTTTTTTGAAGGAGCCAAAGGAGTGGGAAAGACAACCACGCTAATCATGTTACATGAATCATGCAAAAGACCGAAACATTATTTTGTAAGTAATATTCAGAATCAGAGGATTGACCATCTGTGTTGTCTTCACGTTATCCCAACAAAAATCTTTTGCTGTGCTTTTTCGAACAAGCTCTTGTTGATTCCCCGCCAGGCTCTTTTGTTTTGTTCAAGAAAAGCAGCAGAAGCAACATTTTTAAAGGGTACAAGCGACCTAAACCTAAATTTTATCAATTGGATAGCGACCAACGTATTAATTTATCCAATGGATAGTGCTTTTTTATCCGTTGGATAGAGCTATTCATGCTTCGTACAACGCAATTTATCCAGCGAATAAAATTTATGCGTAAACCGTTTCCTTTCTGTTTAGGACCTTTCAAGTGATCACGACGTGGTGCGCTTGTCTGAAAAATTGAAGGTTCGTCCTGAAACTAATAGAAAATTGTTATTTGTTGATTACCCAATGATATGGAAATTCTACCATCTACCCATTATTAACGTTTGTTTTCTTTCTGTTAATATAAGACTATATCGCCATTATCGGTAATGAAGAGAAAGAATATCCAGTTTGGTTGTTTGTTGACAACATACACGAAATGGTGAACTACACATGCTTAAACGACCTGATCCGTATGTACGTCAAGGGCTGGACACAGGTAATTCTGGAGAATTTTAAACATTTGTTTGCTGCTTTTCAAGAATTTCCTGTATGTCCATGCATATAAAATTCCCAAATAAATTCGGCTTAATATGGTAATAAATTTGGACCATTACTGGCAACTTGAAAAATTATTAAGAAATGAATTATTTTCATTATAAAGTCTTGCAATTTGTTTCTAAACTCTTTATCAGTGAACGTGAGATCTTTTAGCTCATTTGGCAGATTATTCCAAGTTTTAGCCGTAACATTCACGCCGCTAAACGTCGCCCCAGTCTCCAAAAGGGGCCGCGCGGCCAGAAATATTTTGTGTATTCTGATTGGCTAAAATTCGTATTTACGACCCGAACTTAGACACACGTGACATAAAACGTCTCGTGTTGTCTAACACTGTTCCTATCCTTGCGGTCACCGTTCCTATGCTGTCTGGCTACCAATTTGATAAGCGAGTATAGTGCTATGGCGCGTAGTGCCCGTTCAGCGCAACATCTAT